AATATATTTGGTGGCTCAATTCTGTGATCCCAGCACTGGGGAAGTAGAAGCAAGAGGATCAAGAATTCAAAGTCATCCATGGCTACATAGCAAGACTTGAGGTCAGCCTGACTAAGAAAAATCAGGAGCTAGAGCCTAAGTATGAAGTCCTTGGTTCACTGGAGACATACCCTCACAGGATTCCATTCCGCCAATGGTCACCTCTTCAAGAGTAAAGAAACAAATACAAGAAACCAGGACATAGAAAACTAAGAAGTATGGTAAAAATAAATGATGAGAGTTTTCATGATTTGATCCCCTATGGGTCCTTACTCTGTGCTTCTTGCTTAAAATAGTGCTTTTTCTTTTTTTCTTTTTTTTTTTTTTTCCTTTTTGGGTTTTTGAGACAGGGTTTCTCTGTGAAACAGTTTTGGCTGTCCTGGAACTCACTCTGTAGACCGGGCTGGCCTCAAATTCACAGAGATCTGAGTTTGAGGCCAGCCTGGTCTACGAAGCGAGTTCCAAGATAGCCAAGGCTACACACAGAAACCCTGACTCAAAAAATCAAAAAGGAAAAAAAAAGAAAGGTTTTGAAGATTGAGACCAAAGAGACGGCTCAGCAGTTTAGAGCACATGTTACTCTTCCATCGGGCCAGGGTTTGTTTAGTAGCACCCACATGGTGGTTCACAACCAGAGATTACTCCAGTTTCTAGGGACCTGATGTCCTCTTCTGACCTCCACAGACACCAGATATACACATGGGGCACATACATATAATGTAGGCAAAACATACACATAAGATAAAATAAATCTAAAAAGAAAAGGATCTTTAACAGAATGAAGGGTATCTATCTCAGCCTCTGAATCATATAATGTTTAACTGGAAAACACTACAAGTATTGCTATTAAAGTCAGGAATGAGACAAAGATGCCAAAAGTCATTTGTTTTGTTTTGGTTTTTTGGTTTTTTTTCGAGACAGGGTTTCTCTGTGTAGCTTTGCACCTTTCCTGGAACTCATACTGTGGCCCAGGCTGGCCTCGAACTCAGAGAGATCTGCCTGCCTCTGCCTCCCGAGTGCTGGGATTAAAGGCATCTGCCACCACCACCCGGCCAAAAGCCATTATTTTAAAAATGTTCAGGACGTCTAAATCAAAACACTTTGCTAAGAAAAACATTATTAAAGTATAGAAGTAGAAAAATAAATGTATCATTATTCACATACGATCAGCAAGCTGAAAAACCAAAGCAAGTCAACTTTAAAATCTATTATATGGGGTTGGAGAGATGGCTCAGAGGTTAAGAGTACTGGCTGCTCTTCCAGAGGTCCTGAGTTCAATTCCCAGTACCCACATAGCAACTCAATCTGATGCCCTCTTCTGGTCTGCAGGCATACATGCAAACAAAGAATCTGTATACATTTAAAAAACAAAAAAAGCCGGGCGGTGGTGGCGCACGCCTTTAATCCCAGCACTTGGGAGGCAGAGGCAGGTGGATCTCTGTGAGTTCGAGGCCAGTCTGGTCTCCAAAGCGAGTTCTAGGAAAGGCGCAAAGCTACACAGAGAAACCCTGTCTCGAAAAACCAAACCAAACCAAAACAAAACAAAACAAAAAATCTAGTTGGACAGTGGTGGTGTATGTCTTTAATCCCAGCACTTGGGAGGCAGAGGCAGGTGGATCTCTGTGAGTTCGAGGCCAGTCTGGTCTCCAAAGCGAGTTCTAGGAAAGGCGCAAAGCTACACAGAGAAACCCTGTCTCGAAAAACCAAACCAAACCAAAACAAAACAAAACAAAAAATCTAGTTGGACAGTGGTGGTGTATGTCTTTAATCCCAGCACTTGGGAAGCAGAAGCAGGTAGATCCTTGTGAGTTTGAGGCCAGCCTGGTCTACAGATCAAGTTCTTGGACAGCTAAGGCTACACAAAGAAACCCTGTCTTGAAAAACCAAACAACAACAACAAATCTATTACAAAACTTAGATTCAGTAAACTAGCTACATGAAAAAAATTCAACATTTAAAACAAAGTCAGGCCAGGACTGGAAGAGTACATGCTAAGAGTATGTGCTTTTGCAGAGGCCTAGAGTCTGATCCACAGTGCCCACATTAGGAAGCTCACAGGGGATTTAACACCATCTTCTGGCTTTCAAGGCACAAATCCACACACAGACAACATGCATACACATACTAAACAAACAAATATATA